AAAGGTCATTCCATAAAAATCAGTATCATTACTACGCTATACTGAACAGAATATGTGAAGTTATTTGGACATTATTAAAGAGAAGTCATATTTTGTCATAATGACTTAACAGTATGTGACACTTCAGGATATCCCATCTCTAATAGTACACATGGGGACACACATCCACACACCCAAACACAAACTGACAAACCATGAGACAAAACTAATGCCATAAATGTCAACTTGTAAACACCAATGCCAATGTATACTGCAGACAAAGCAAAATGTGTCATAAAGCCAAAAGTTAAATCCATAACATTATTTTTGGAAGTCTTGTCTGTTCCTTATACACAAGAAAATCAAACTGAATTCTGAACATATACAGAGCTATAAGGCTCCAATACCTTCCAAGCCCTCTGAATAGTACGGGAAAGCAATACCTAAATTACAAATCTCCAGACAGTGTTTCAGTACTGTGAAGCTATACCTACATTATATATCTCTAGACAGTATTTTTATGTCTGTTTAATCATTTTTCCAACAGCCATTACCTTTGTGTTTATCAGGGAAAATAACATCCACTCTAGATTCCATGCATTGGAAATATGCTACACCGATATACTTTCCTCCAGGAAATCATTATCCAAGTTATGCAATCTGTCCAATACGTATGCAATTTGCCAATATCTAGGTTTGCTAACAGCAAACAAAAAGTTAAAGCTGAAAGTCATCCAATATTTTCCCTGCATGATTTTTTTGCTTACCTGAAACTATTCATAAAATCACATAATTTTTCTGAAAGAATACATCTAACTATATATACCTATACAATGTCAGTATACAGGGAAATATTCTGGGTTAGAATATTTTTTTAGCATTTTGCTTTCCAACAAACTCTAAGACAAACTACTATAACTGTGCAAGTAAATATTAACTATGTAACAGAGACCGCAACAGTTAAGCTGGGCTTAAATAAGTGTCTTATGGTTTGACAAATACACAGCCATACACAAGCACTCCTGGTGATTTCCATTCTTTGAAAGGAAGGTTAAAAAGGCTTCAAAACCCAGGAAGTGGCCTTCTAATGAATTCCTCGAATAATAAATACACAACCTCATACCCACAACCAGTAAAACTACCATCACATCTTGAAATAATTCCAATATTCACAAAAGATAATGCGTCTGAGGTGAAAAACTGAGTTCTTCTATTCTGAATAACTCATTATTTAAAATTACCATTCTATTCCCTTCAGCAAATTTGCAGAACTGTAATAAATTTGATGAACAACCACAAACTTCTGAATCATTTGTCTTTCTGTCTCCTGCCCAAAAATGTATAAACTATAATTTTACCTACTGTCGCTTACATTTAGGGAGAAAACCGAATAAACATGTTGAAGAACAGAGTGCTGAGGAGAATATTAGGCCCTAAGAAAAGGGACACAACAGGAGACTAAGGAAATTGCATAAAAAGGACCTTCATAAATTACAAATTTTGTACACATCACCAAATACTAGAACAAACAAACCCAAAAAGATAATGTGGGAAGAGTATATAGAACTGATGAGAAATGCGTGCATATCCCTGATCAGAAAACTTAAAGGTATGAGAACACTTGTCAAATCTACGCAGAGAAGGGAGGATAATGTTAAAATAGGCACTGAAGTTACAGGGAGGACATGGCTTTCAAACTTCAGATAGTAATCAGCAGACATGCACTTGTGAACACAGTAATGAACCTTTGGGTCCTATAAAAAGCAGGGAGTTTCCTGACTGAGAACTATTAGCTTCTCATGCAGGAATCTACACTATAAAAAAAGATAAAGTTGTCCCTGTTCTTAATTAATTAATCACTATGCAAGGCAGATGTATCGGGGTGTGGAGATATAGCTTCACCATTCTTGACCTCAATACTGGACAGAGGTGAGTGGTCAGCTTCATGCCCCAGCCACTTTAACCCCACTGGATAGGAGGCTGGGTGGGCAACAGATCTGATCTGGACACTGTGGAGAAAAGAAAAGTCTTGCTCCTGACGCGAATCAAACCCCAGCCACCTAGCCCATAGCCTAACACTATACCGATTGTGCTATCCTGACTCTGGAACCTATGCTACTGAGTTTGAGCATTCAGTGTACTTGCCATGAACATATCAAAAGGGACAATTATTTTCATTTGCATTCTGAACAGACATCTCTTTCTGGATTAGTTTAGTGCCAGGTGAATTTTCACATAATAAAATAATTTAAAACATATATTAGATTGACACCATCATTTGTAGGGGTAAGTAATGTGCATATTAAACACTGACTTGAAAATTCACCAAAAACCACACAAGGATTAATTTGCCTGATCACATTAAGGATGCTGGACTGCTTATTCTATATGTGTTAAAAATATGGGCCAAGGACACAGATGTGCTTCAGTCCAAGAAAATTTACGGAAAATATTTTCAAACATTATGTGCTCTTTGCTAGTTACTTATTTTTATTTCCCTGTTTTCATGTTGTGTACACCACAAACCACCAGGCCCTTTCTTGAAATTAAAAGACATGGTAAATCATGATACGACACATTATCTAATGAGTGCAAAAATAATGTAATGATAATCCATATTCATAATGCATCTTTCACTTCATTATGGCTAAACAAGCATCTTCAAATGTTTACTGATTACAACAAATATATGTAAGGTACAATTCTGGCCTTCATAATGAACCCCCTAAATCAAAATCCCTTTATACAGTCCATCTTTTCTCCTCTAAATTTTCCTTGCAGAAACTCGGAACTTAAAATGGATTACAAATTGTGATTCTGCATTCTCCTTCTACTGTTTCAACATGGATGCATCACACCTCATGTAGACACCTTACAATAGAAAAGGGCCGTGCCACAGCTCAAACGGTTAGTTGTTGGCTTCCCACCGCAGCGGCCCAGGTTCGATCCTGGGTCTGGTCAAGTGGGATCTGTGGTGGACAAAGTGGGGCTGGGGTAGGTTTTCTCAGAGTACTTCAGTTTCCCCTGCCAATCTTCATTCTACCAATTGCTCCACAATCACCCTCACCTATCAGCTGGGGCTGGTACAATAGGCCAGAAGTGGCCACAGTACAAGAGACCTGGTCCCACCCCACTAGCAATAAAAAAAAATACAATAGAAAAGTGCTGTATTTTCAATAAGGTTGATTAGCATGGCGCTCCTATGGGCCATCAATTACAGGTAGCATAGCTTAATATCAACATCAACATTCATGAAATCTTTAGCATATGTTTGTCTGTAAATAATGCTATCATTCACGGCCTTACAATGAAGAAACTAATATAAAAGCCCATCTATAATAAGTTAACACAGAAGAAGGAACAATGTGTGTGTTATTTCTGTTAATTTGTTTTCATTATAACATACTTTCTTTCACCTGCTATTTTGACTTTAACATAGAAATTGAGCTAATGTTGGATGAAGAAAGCCACCCTGCACAAACAGTGGCTGGAAAGTAATTCCTACCTTGAAGTAAATTTATGTACTACATGATTTTTTAAGAGGCATTTAATACATTTCTAGTGTTAAGCATAGAAACGTAAGTTTTAGTATTTATACTTTAATGTTTATACTACAAACACCAATATTTTAAATAACTGGCAGCCATCCTTGTATGTATAACAGATCCATTTGTATGTATGAAAGATCCATTTGAATGTATCTGTAGTTGAATGAATGTATAAGGGGTGGGCCTTCTTGGCCCTTGCACCGTGACCACAGTGATCTATTGTGCCTATCTGTAGTTGGTAAGGAGTTGTTTCCTTAGAAAGTAGATGGAAAATAAAACAGAATTGTATCTCACAATTCTGTCCAATGTGTCTAAGTTTCCAAAATACACACACATGAAATTTTCTGTTGTATGGTTACAGTACAGTTACCCTATTCGGTACTGAGGCTTGGTAGTTGTGGTTTCACAATTTGGTAATCCTGGGCTAAATACTACATGGTTTATTTTTTTTTATGCTTTGTAACCAGTAAAGTTCCACAAATTATCATAAATCACATATATAAATTTGTTCTATGTGTAATATTTTCATACAGTACACTGACTGACGAGTGAGATATATAAATGTATTTAATACAATTTTGTGCCATGTATCTCAATGCAACTGACAGGAGCTTTCATGATTGGTGAATAAATGACACTAATGACTACATAAAAAATCTCATTCAAAGAAAGCCATTAAAAAATCATGTCCCGTTTGGAACTTCTGACAAAAAATAGATCACTTACTGCATTGATATTATCAGGGAAAAGAATTGAGTGGCAGAATTTATAGGCTCGAAGGAACTCATGAACCTTTAGCAAGCAAACTTTTTTAAAAGAAGTGAGAATAGATCAGTACTGCAAAATGGAGTTACACATATTGGATTAGTATTTCTAATCCAAATTAATACGGTAATCCAACCCCCTGAAAAAACAGGTAATGTATTTATATAGTATTAGAATACTGTACATATACAGCAATTTCAGAGTCCCTTTACACCATCATTCATTCATACATATCCTATGCAACCTGATGACAGATGTATTAACCCAGTATACTGGAATTTCCCACAGATGAATGGCTACCAGAAAAACAAATATGGTCACAATATAATCTAGTAACTTTCTAATGACAATGTAATTGTCTACATCACCAACTGATGATTACCCATGTTCAATAAAAGAGAATATGAATCACTTCCTTTCTCAATCCCATTTAGTTCACAACTATTCATTTATTTTAATTATGTTGTTCTAGTTTTTAGCTTTGAATACATTTATAGCGCTTGCCTGTTTAGGCTATTTCCCGCTGGCAAGTACTCCAATATGTAAACTGAACTGTTGTTGGGTTTTTCTTTTCTTTTTTCACAGAAAGCCACCTCCCAGGTCGTGTCAACACAATGTGAACAGAATGAAAATAGCATGTCTTAAAATAGGCAGGAATTTTATTTACCATTATAGTAATAGAAAGACCTATTGCTAATGTAGACATACCTTTTCAACTTTTTCAAAATTTCTTGCCTTCATCTGTAACAACAAGAGAACACAAGCATGACATATCAAGAAAACCAATCAAAGAATTTATATAAGCTTTTCCACATTCACACCTAATTAAAATTATAAATAAAAGTTTAATCAACAGAACAAAACTGTCAGTTATTCATACTGTGTAAATATGTACTGACTTTTAATTGTTATATTATCAGATATGTACAGCAGTCATCTAAGAAAACTGGAATTAATGGGGGGAATTTGAAACAGCTTTAATTCTAAATAGGTAATAATACACAATGGTTGAAAATATAATTACTAATTATGCAGTTTAACTACCCATGCTAGTCTTGATTTCTAGAGTTTCTTTGAGTCACACAAAATGTATACTGTGCAGAGAGGTGAAGGAATTACCACACCTAATTCATTATTTTACACCATTTGCTGTAAAACCTAAGTACTGCCAATATTTTCTCAGTGACTGAAAACAGTCAGAAAGTATATGGAATAAGTACGGCAGTGGACATCAAAATTACTCAGCAATGCTCTATTTTTTACACGAGAAGAACAATATCATCTCCAAAGTGTAATTCCATGTCAAAACACAGCTGTATGCCAAACATTTTATGATCATCTCTGGTTCTTATAATATTTGGCAATCTTGTTGGGACAAACAGATTTATATATATGGAAATTTACCTTTCTGTGTCTATTAATTTCAAAGAAGCATCATTCTAAAATTTTAAGTTCTCTTTAAAATTTCCTTGATCTTGAATCATAAATATGTTTACAGCTCTTGCTCTAAAGTGTTTAAAAAAGTTAAGTCTTGCACCACTACACACATCTTCCTACAGAGTGTCATAATCTAAAAGACTTCAAATGGAACGTGACTGTCATACTGCCACTCATGGCTTCCTGGGTCACTCTGAGTTTTTTTTTTTTACATTTAACCTTAATTTATGAAACAATAACAAGGCCTAGTTTATTTCAATTTTTTTATAGCATAACAGGTCCTGAAACTATACCCCCTAGACGCAAGACAGATTCATTACATGTGCGCCAACACACTCAAATCTGAGAAAAAGTGAGTTTATTCATTATCATTTGCAATTTATTTAACAATAAATTTATTACAAGCACAAAAGGCCCAGCTACAAAGATCAAACAACCTGTATATAGGAAGACATGGCATATGTCTCAGGTTTAAGAACTCTGGGCAGCTTTATTTTTTAAAATATTAATACTCAATGAATGTTGTAAATACCAGGCTAATGACATTCTTCACAGCCCAGACATCCCCCAGGCATCCATTCTGCTACCCTACAATTCTCTCATTAGCATTAGTAAATAAAGGACTCTTCACAGTGGTTTCCCTTCATGGACATAAACCAAGACTCACATTCAGGAATTACTGCATTACATTCATTCATTTTCATTCATTTATTTATTTTCCATGTATCCAGGTATAGGTACAACCCAGGATATGGAAACAGACAATTTTACAATGTTTATACAAAATTATGTAAGTCTCATGCTGGTTCCCATCTTGGAATTGGCTTCCCTGTTTAAAGTCTGTGTCACCCCTCTGTTCCTCCAGGTAAAGGCCAAGACAGCTAACTGCCTCAAAGACTGGAAATTAATAACATGTAACTGACATACCTCCTGCTCAATATAGATCTTCCAGTACCTTCCTGCACTGGGAAAGGTTAACACCAGCTTCTCAAAAAAAGGTCGCATCTCTCCAATCCACTTGCCCTGAGCCTCTCGGATCAAGAGACTCCAAGCCTCTAGATCGTATGGACTATCATCTATTTGCTTTTGAGCTTTCTGAAGTTTGTCGTTGCCCCAGTCCTGAAAAAGAAGCATTTTCAAGGCCTTATGATTGGATTATGTCACTATTTCCATAATACAGGGTATTTCTTCAGCAGTAAATGTGCAGGCACTGTAGTTATGGAACTTGAATGTTCATAATCACAAAAGTCTGCCAGCAGGTCCAATCCTTAGCTAGTTCAGTCAATTCTCATATTACATACATGGTGGTAACATCCTTCCACAGGTTTGAAGTACATTACACTTCAAAATAAATACAAGAAAAACAACAGTAATAACTACAGCAAATTATATCACTAATAAAATGTGACATGTGACAAGAAGTTTAATTACAACTAACAACTCTCACTTGAGATGCTGAAACTAATTATTTGTATACAGGGTGTTTCATTTTAAAGATTAGATCCAGCTCTAGTAAAATGTTTTGGTCAAGAGGAAGTATCCTGATGTTCATCAAAAAAAAAATTATCTCTACAACTCTGAACCTATTTTTGTCTTGTTAACATATCATCTAAATGTGGCTATGCTAAACTTAGGATGATGATAACCACAACATCTTCCAAACTGCTTCATATTAATAAAAAGTAAACAGCTGAACTGCAAATCATCACTTTGAAAATTACTATCAATGCTACTGTCATTACGATGCAGTGTCCCCTCTGTGTTTCAAAGCAACCGTTCATTCTAGTGTTTCGTGATGATCAAGCTGTAATAACAGATGTGTGAAATTTTGGCATCTCAGTATTCCATTGGTTCCCAACCATGTCAGAACAGGTATCAGAATGTGGGATCCTCAACAAGTAGGATCAGGCATTTTTCCTTTTTATACTTTTATAGCGCAGTTGGTATAGTGACTAGCTATGGGCTGGACGACCTAGGGTTCAGAGTTCAGGTTCCAGTAGGGTCAAGAATTTTCTCTTCTCCATGTTGTTCAGACCAGTTCTGGGGTCCACCCTACCTCCTATCCAATGGATACTGGGAAATCTTTCCCTGGGGGTAAAGTGGCCAGGGCGTGAAGCTGACCACTCATCACCGGCTAGTGTTGAGGTCACGAAAATGTGGATCTATATTACCACTCCCCCAAATGCCTTCATGATGTAATGCTTAATTAGTTAAGCAAAGGGACAACTTTACCTTACTTCTAGAGTACCAGAAAGTTGCACCATGAAAGCTGGAAAGTCAAGATTGCACTGTTCTTCCTGGATAGCAGAAGGAAACATGAAGCGGACAGATAAGAGTGTGTTCAAGTGCCACACATTCACATAAAACATTCATTATCTAAAACCTTCTACTATTCTTCCTGGGACAGTAAAACAAGGAAATGTGAAGTAGAGAGATAGTGCTGCACATTCATGTAAAAGATTCAATATCTATATCTTCAGCAGAATAACTACAATGTTAACCAACTGAAACCTACCCATAGTATACAGTATATAGTATATACTGTGACGGATTACTCCTTTTTAGTAATATACTTCACCCAATTTATATATATATATATATATATATATATATATTTANGAAATGCATACATTATCACGCAATATAAGATGCCATGGACTATACATTAAGTAGCAGATGACGCAATGTAGCATGATGTCATATGTAAATTTATAGTCCAGGGGCTCCCCTTTCTGTTTGTAATGCATGATACAAGCCCCAAGAACTTACAGCCAGGCACTTCACAGAGGTACTTCCCAATATATGACCAATCAACACGCCTGTTACTGTATGATGTCATGCCTGGCAGCAGTAGGGTGGTAACGCAATTCTTTGTTCAAAGACAGACAATGCTTAACTCTTAAACCGTTAAGATGTGTGATCACGTAGTAGAAGGAACAAAGGACTACATATAGTCCTAAATACAAACATAATAATGATGTAATTAATCAATGTTAAAGTGTATGTGTTGTGAAGTGGTCGCAAGTTTTGTTTGACCGCCTTCGTTGAAGCCAGGGCCCACTTAATGGCCCAGGTGATACTCTCATGTTCCCGAATGGGTGGAGCCCAAACAACTACAAAGGTGAGCTACGTCATCGACTGCTTCCTAGGAGTCGCTAAAAAGGCGACTCACCATGACCAGCTGCGTCCACCTTGACCTCTCACAGTAAGCAGCTGCGGCCAACTTTACCGGATCTGTGGTGACAAAGTGCCTACAAAAGCTTTCCAGCCACAATACAGTGTATAACATGATGGCAAATCCACTCAGTTTACATGGAAAATTTATGCTAAGAACATGAAAGAATAATCGTAACTAAAAACCAGACCTGAAGATGGCACACATGTGCCAAAACATGTAATCCTAAACAGCAAACCCCATCTGCTAAAACAGTGTTGTGTTGACAAAAATATATATCTATAGTGATTTACACAACGGATGCAACAGAATATGAACAATTAGAATTCAAGTATTTTTATCAAGGTTTCTGAAATGATGGGCTGGACATAAAATTTAGCTAGTGGAAACAATAAATGTAGAACTTCGGTCAGAACACCTCTCGGACAAGCAGTCACTTCAAGAAAGACACGAAGACAATACTAAAACAAATCTAGGTGACGTTGTGAATTAAACTGGGCTGCCTCAGTCTCTGATATTAAGGGTGTTAGGAGGTTCTATTACCAGAGGACTAGCTAGTTTCTAGAATGAAAACTAACCTTATATGGAAAATGAATATGTGAGTACTCTGTGAAGCACTTGCAGAATTTAGGGAAAAAAAAAACAAATAAAAGGTCATGCCATCCAGATACCACATTTATAAACATAACATTCCAATCATACAAAAATTTGTGACAAAATTTCCGCCAGCATTCTTCAACGTGGGACACCCACTTCTCCTGGAATCATTTGTGTTTAATATGAGCACTGGTCCTGTGAAAACTTCTTCCATGGACTACATATGTGTATAATCGCTATGAAGGCTTTGGTTTCTACTGAATTAGGCTTTCAACTTATACCACACTGAACAAACCTGTTATCTAATCATTACAGACTCCCTACTTCATGGTAATGTCTGGCCAGCATTAGAAGGGAGGAAAGCTAAGAGAAGCAAGCTTGCTTTCCATGCAATACGGACAATTCTTCTTAATGATGCGGCAGCATTACACAATTCATTAATTGCTACACCATGGGCCTCTCTTAAAATCTTTTATATAAAGTAATATCGAATTTCCCTATTGTCTATGGAAACGCACACAAAGTACCGTATTTACGCATGTATAGGCCACACATTTTTTGCCAAAAATTCAAAAGGAAAACTGGGGTGCGTCTTATATTCGAAATCACACTTCATTTAAAAAAAATTATATTCATAATTAGTAACACAGGGTGTTCTACTCCTGAAATAATATTCCAAGAAAATTATTTTTTCTATAATTTCTGTCTGAAAATTGTGCTGCGGCCTATACACGCACGCGGCCTATACATGCGTAAATACGGTATATCCAACGACTGATTCAATGTTTTTGAAAACATCATTAATATTATATCTTGTTATAATACTTCCAATTTTTAATTTTTATGTAATCTGAACTTTTGTATTTTTTACATAAGCATTTTTAAATTTGTACGATTAATAGTGTTATATCCATTTTATGACTGCACTTAAATGGTAGTTTTTTGTTGATATGTATTTACCTGATGGCCGATAGTGGCCGAAACATGTAGCAAAGCCACAGCTGAACGCTGACTTTGATGTTTTACTATTTGTTGTGTTGTGACGGTTCAATAAAGAGTTGTATCACACAGATTATTTGCTATTACAGCACTACTGTTTATAAAGTTTCTGCATTGTAATTTAATTAGCACACTAATGCATCAGGTTACAACCATCCTGTATTATAATCAGCCTGGTAACATGATCATTATGCACTGACACCATCCCCCACAAATCTGCCAAACTGGGTTCAGTATTACGACCAACATTTTCAGTTTTAGAGAACAAGCAGGTTCCTCACATTCATTTGATGTGTTGCCTTGTATTACACAACACTGAATTTCTTCTCATTTTGTTACTATTTGAGTATTTATGAATGGATATTTTTCAGAGTCTGTGATAGAACTACATAATTTAAAGCTTGCAGAAATGAGCAAGAGAAGGAAACATGATGGTGACAATGATAAGGGTGGCAATGGAAAAGGGCTTGGTGAAATGTCATGAGGACTACTGGGGGGGGGGGATATAAAATTATGGAATATGTGAAAAGCACAAGATGTTTGTAATCAATAACTGTGAATCCAAATTTGGTATATTGGCTGAAAAAAGGGAAAAATTTCTCAAAATATCGCTGGATGATAAGGCACAGTAATGCATTCCATTATATTATGCCATTATTTCAACTAAATTTCTGACAACTTAAAACAAGTGAGGAAACATACTGAAGATGGACCATCACTTTCTCTAGTCATGACTGGTTTGATATGTTTAAAAGAAAGGTAAGTTTGTGCAATCTTAAAATTGCCAGTGAGGCTGCTAGTGCTTACAAAGTTGCTGCCTCAATTTATCTTGTACAGTAAGCTAAAGAATGGACAATTTGCGAGTGTGTAATGTTGTTAATTGCCATGTATGATTGGTATCTCCTGGATGTGCAATGGTATCCTAATTGTACTGTAGCTATTTAGGGCATAGGTGTTCATGCTGTGGTGACGAGTGCCATGTAGAATGCTCACTTGCACTGGCAGTCTATGAAGTGGGATTTGTTGTCATGGTGTCCAGAATGTAACTGGTTATGATGTGAGATAGACAGCCACCTTATACTTGATTCCATGAGACAGGATGCAAAAAAAAATTGAAATACATGGTCTGACAACAAAGTTTGTGAACTCGCCACCGTGTGCTTGCTATAGCAGCAGTGGACAGAAACCTCAGTAAGGTTTGATGACACTGGGGCATCAGCTTTCCACAGCTGTGTTGCTGTTGATCTACAGCAGTCTCTTTCTGAGTGGCGTCTATTATTGTCTGAGTGTGTTTCGGTGTGCCACTGTGAGAATGTTGGAGCTTCTTGTTAAACTTGGCAAGAGTGAAAGCAAAATAAGAGAGATGTTAGTAAAATTTTAAGCTGATAATGCAATGAAGAAAACAACGGTATACAAGTGGGTGACACGTTTTTCTAAGGGAAGAGAGAGTGTCACTGACAAATAGAGATCAGGATGGCCAGCAACGAGCAGAACTGAAGAAATTATTGCAGAATTTCGTTAAAATTGTGCGTGAAAATCGTTGGATGACTGTCAGGAGCATAGCAGAGCAAGTGAACATTGACAGAGAAACAGTTAGGAAATCTTAACTGAAGATCTTGACATGAGGAAGGTGCTTGCAAAAATGATCCCAAAGGACCTGCTCATATGGCACTATCTGTGAGCGAGTCTTTAGCTAGGAAACAAATAACTGCACTACAATACCCTCTCTATCCACCCAATCTAGCCCCCAATGACTTTTTCTTTTCCCAAAAATAAAGGAAATACTGAAAGGAAGGCATTTTGATGACACTGATGACATCAGGAGTAATACGAGGGAAGATCTGAAGGCCATTCCACAAAACCAGTTCCAAATTTGTTTTGAAGAGTGGACTAGGCACTTCCCATTGGGTGTACTTTGAAGGCAACCACAGTGATCTTCAGCAATGAGGTATGCGGCACTTTTACCGTGCTGAGGTTACGAACTTTATTGTCAGACCACATACAGGCATCAATCATTTTACAAACACTCAATTTATGAATATTTGCTACAACAAATATGTTACTTTGTACCTATTTTTCAATAAATGAACTTCACTTTTAGTACAAACAACTTACATAAAAGAAGTTTTTTTTGTGAAGGCTGAGAAATGCATACACAATGCGTGGAGAGGTGGGGACTTGCAGTAAATGTTACAGACAGATGTTTTTCTCTGTAATATTTGTGCATGTCATTCCTCATAACTGTTGTGCAACCATTTAGCTTTTAGTGCACACCTTATCATATTTGTAGTTTGTAGACCTGCTAGTAAATTAATCTTAAATGCAGCACTTATTTTCATTTTCATGTATCTTATTACAACATGTTTCAGTCTCACTTAGCCATCATCAGGTGTATACACTCTTGCTAAAATTGTAGCACTGTCATCTTAGTACGTCACATGTAAATGCATTGTTATTTTTAATTTAAAAAACAGACAACCTGCCAACTAGCCACAGCACAGCTAAATCCAAAATTTTTTTAATCTTTAAGGATTTCTGCTTTTAAGATGGTGGTTCAACAGGATGCTAAAGTACATTAGTGTACTGTTCTTGCTACTACCATGACTTTCAGTCTAGTACAACGTTAGTTTACTGTCGTTGCTACTATCAGGACATGCAGTCTATGTACACGTGCTTTATAGCCACAAAGACATGCAACTGAGAGGCTTCGTCAGCATCACTGCACTGCATCAGCTATGAGATAATAAACGTGAATGAAATACTACAGTTTTATTTGCAACACTCAATTTCATGAACAAATACTGAGGAATTCTTCTGGGATTTGTGAATGAGTTCATGACATTTACATGAAAACAGGGGGCATACATTTTTCAATTTACAAATTTTCACCTTAGAAACAGTTTTTATGGAACAAATTACCTTTGTATATCAAGGGACACCTGTACAGGCAACACAATATGATCCAATCTTGAAATTATAAGCAATTCAAGAACTAGGACTAGTACCATTGTATGCCTTACGTTTACATGAAAATAGTGGACATACATTTTCCAATTTACAAATCTTCACCTTAGAAACAGTTTTTATGGAACAAATTACCTTTGTGTATCAAGGGATGCCTGTACAGGGAACACAATATGATCCAATCTTGAAATTAGAAGCAATTCAAGAACTAGGACTAGTACCATTGTATGCCTGATGATGGCCCAATATAAGGGCCAAAACATGTAGCGCCAACAGCAAAATAAAACTGATGCTGATACAACAGTGTCTATTTTGTTTTTCATGATATTGATGCGTACATTACCCCCATTATACATATATATATCATGTACAGGGAAGCTGAAAGACAAGGTTTACCATAACAATCCATACACAGAGGACAAACTTCAAGAAAAGAGCATACAGTATCATCAATTTCATGAAAAGAACTTCAGAAAGTTTTCAGTAATTTTCTCACTAGGTGTGAAGTATGTCTGAGAGCTAAAGATTACTTGCTATAACATGCTATAACAACACTCGCAGCTAAGAAGGGAACACACATCACAAGACACGGTTTACACAGAATATAAGAAAAACGACCCCCATAGTGGAAGAACCACATGCAAGTTTTAATTCTGACACATAAGATGAATAATCTTAACAAGTTTTAGTGTGTGTAAATTTATTATAGTTGACAAATATGGACTTTATAAATACTTTTTAAATAATTTTATAAAGGCAAGCAATGAAATAGATTAGCATAATTAGGGCACCTGATGATGGCACTATGTTGCCGAAACATGTCGTGAAGTATCAGGTGAAATTGAACGCACTACAAGACGGCAACTGTATACATATCATGGATGAACATGCAGTGAGTTACAACACTGAATACAAAATGTTAATGTTACCAGCTAATCTCAATCCAGTGGCATACTACCAAGGAAGGGGTCACATTAAATGGGACAACCTGCACCTTGCCACATTTTGCTTAATAAATAAAATCTACTACAATTTTCTGATATGCAAGGATGTAGTAAATTTAAATCAGATAAAGAGTTAAGGTTTCCATCTGTGGCTGTTCTTCAAGAGGTAACTAAATCTTATACCACTCCACCATGAATTATAGAACCTGCCGGCAGCTAAAACATGGAGTTATGTGGGAAATCTTGCAGTGGCCAGCAGAACGGATGGTTGTTGATTAAGTACGTAAGAGTTCATTACATACAATAACTAGAAGAAACCCCCCAAATGAATTCTTTTTGTGGGTTATTTAAAAATGCTTTCTGCTGCTGGATTTCACAGCACTGAGACACATGACACATGAACTGGCACAAATTTGGAAGCAAGCAGTTATGGCCTAATCACAGTACTATCCTGGCATTTTCCTGGGGACTGAATAAAACCAAGAAAAACCCGAGTCAGGACAGCTAGCGCACAAAATTAAGTAAAAGGTATATATATATATTAATGAATATATTCATGTATAAATGAAACCACAAAAATCCAGCCACCTCTTATAGCTTTTCTGAAAACGTCACATATTCATTCATGTACTATTCATTTAATGAATGACGCTGTACTTACACTAAGCTAATGCATATTATGTAACTTCGTTTTGTTACTAGAACTTCAAAACTACACACAAATGAGATTCTTGGTTGTGCTGAGTGACACGGCATTTACACTGGGCCTTTTGGTGTAAATTCGTTTTAGGCAATAGAAGTAGTGGCATTCTGATATTCAGCAACGAACATTCGTGTTTTAAATACAATACAAACTTCGTGAACATTACTACGTTATACGTGGCTGCTGAATTTACTCTGAATAACTGGAAGCCGACAAATTCCGCCCTACTTCCATGGGCAATACGTTACATCATAAAATGTATTCAGAAGCTATTACATATCCTTTTATGATAATACATAATCGATTGTAAAATAAAACTACAAGCTTGCGAATTCTCAACCTAAGCTATTAAAACTCATTTCGAAGGGCACAAAGCAAAATGAATTCTTACCACTTCCATCTTCTCTTCTGCCATTCTGATGCGCACTACGAACTCACACTACAGAAAACTATAAATCCTTATAATTTCCTAAGTTATAGATAAGAAGTAATAAGCATCTATAAACGATTACGCTTATACCACAATTTTCATGCAGCACGCCAAGCGTTCATTCCTCTGTTACAGGCTATCGTCACCCCTTCCCATTCCAGGCTCCCAATTTTTGATATCTCATTGGCTGAACTTGAACAATCGATTAACAGCACTGCCAACATCACCACGAGAAAATGTATCGTTCCGCACGAGCGTATATCTTTTCCATACCGCTATCTGTTGGGAAGACACGAAACTAATAAAGCAGATAGAACCTCCTGAAGTGAGAACGCAAAGGAAATGTGAAAACTATAGTATCCCGCTTAAAACATGTTATTCACTGTAAATAAGAAGACATCTAAACAAAATTGATTTTCCCCTGGAAAAGGGGCACTTTGTTTTTCAGTGTCCTGGTTAAAGCACCGCATACGTTCCGGTGAATATATCAGATGTTTCAGCATCAGACGACTGCAATATGAACTTTTATTGCCTACAAAACCTCAAATAACGTACTGCTTTTCTGCCTTTGTATGTAATATATGTATGTGTGCGTATGTAGGATGTTTGTTTCTTTGTACCCATAAAACGACCATGTAATACTTACTTGGATTTATGGAACGTAAATAAATTCAAATTCAATTAGTATTTAGCCATTTTATTTATTTTGTATATAATAAGTTTGTGATTTGCACAATGTGCATGATACAAAGTATTTATAATCCCTGCAGAGTTATTTGCTGTAAGCAGACAGAGAGTTCTTCTTACACAACCAAATATTCGGTATCTTGCAGAAATTTTACCACGTTACACATATACAAGTCTCTGCTGGAATGATGAAAAGGTTTGTTCTGTAGATTTTATGGCGGAAACCATGTACTGCAAGCCGTGTGATTACATCTCACAATTCGTAGTTGGCAAGAGTCTAGGTCCGGTAGATCACAGTTGTTGTGGCATAGAATTCCTCCCAGATGAAAGGCCTGTTTATCTCTCAACTTCTGTAACATTCTTTCTGATGCCCTGGCGGAGGTCCGAAATTCCTTGATGTTTCATTCCATTTCCTGTTTCATAAACACAGAGCTCTGATTATATGTTGTGTGCACAAAATGCATAAAGCGAATACCTGTGGGAAAGGTAAGTGTCCATCTGTCGATCTATTCGCCATTTTGCTTTCTGAGTTTCGCTTAGTGGGGGATGGAATCCAACTGGGTCCACTCGGCACGGCGGCCACTGATTGGCCTATTGTAGCCTGCCCCGGGTGATTATGATGATGGAGAATTTGGTGGAAAGAAGATTGGCAGGGGAAACCGAAGTATTCGGAGAAAACCCGACCCAGTGCCACAACAAATCCCACTTGACCAGACCCGGGATCGAACCCGGGTAGCCGTGGTGGGAAGCCAGCGACTAACCGCTTGAGCTATGGCGCGGCCTGCTTTCTAAGTTACTATGTACTAAACTTACATCATTGCAGTAACTCCTACTTCGCATACTACGTTGAGCATATAAAATTATACGTGACAAATACAGACATAATTGTTTTTAAGGTAAGAACTTTGATTTGAAAGAGTTCTTGATATGAGAATATTTAACGAACATAGGGCAATATTATTTTACTACTTTCTGCTTTTATTGTCTATAGTCACATTAGTTTTACATTATATTTGTGTCCGGATTAAACGGACATGAAGTCTATAGCATGTGGGAGACGCCTATACCTCACTAGAGCACACCTCTCAATTTTTTGACTTGATTCAGGAATTCATTGTTACGCTCAGGAGAATAAAGTACAATGTTGTAATCTGTGGAAGATTAAATTATAGAATAATTTATAACACTCTCCAGTGTGATTCAGTTTGTAGATATTAATTGCCTTTACATGATTCGGTCAGCTGACCGTCTTCAGAAGGAATAAGGTCAACATGCTCAGAAACTGCTATTGCAAATCTCGTAATACATACTTAGAAGTCTTTATGTAAAGAGAAATTTACAATTATTTGGATTAAAATCTTATTAATGTCTAGTGCCTCAAACACAGCAAAAAGGAAATACGTGTAACTAGGCATCACAACGATGCAGAACCATAACAAGCTAAAAAGGGGCATCACTGCGAGGACCTCTGAAGACTCAAAAAAATTTCCAGTTTTAACACAAGAGGCACAAGGAAAGAAACCATATTGGTTTAAGATCCTAAATACTAGATATTAACAAGATTTCTCTTTATGAGCAAAAGTTTAAATGACAAGGCCTACTGGAATTTGTGCTGAGTGTCCTGCTGTCCCGAAAATGTTTCTCAAAATGGCCAGTTGCCTATGATATTTATGGAAGTTGAAATAAAATTATAGTTGATAAGAAGTAAAAGTTAGTAACAAAAGTGTGGTTAGATGTCGGGGTTCTCAGAGTACAAAATAGAATTGACGAACCTACGACATGATTCTGCGTTGAGTTGAGAGTACGAGTAAGACAATAAACCTATCAGAGCGCAAATGGCCATAATACAGGTAAATTCTATGTACCCCCACTTTCTTATAAGACGACAACCTGATAATATGTGCTTCATTTTTCTGAAACCTCAGAGTAGTATGTATATGGTTCTATATGTGATCATATACTTCAATTATGCAAGTCCGGACGATATTTCTCACTATGTGGCACTAAATATCTGCAGAGAATAAAACTCCGTGGCCTGCAGTCCTCAAGCGAACTATACCGACCGAGCGTCCGCCGCTTGTCGGCGAAGTTAGTGCCAACTTTTGCGGATAGAGGGTATCGCGTGGTCAGCGCAACGAATCCCCACGGCCGTTAATTTCGGTTTTTCTAGACCGGAGCCGCTATTTGCCTGAAATAGCTCCTCAGTTATCCTCAGGAGGCTGAGTGGACCCCGATTAAGACCCACTAATTCCCAGAAAATCTGGTAGGACAGGGAATCGAACCCGGGACCTCTGGATTTGTAGCCAGGAACTCTGACCGCTAGGCCACAGAGGCGGTCTATCTGCAGAACATGTCTACATAAATAACTTTTTCATTCAATTTACATACGATCCTGTTCTACTGTGACGACATTAAAATACATGAAGGGTTACTTTATGTCACAAACAATGTTCCTATCACGAGCGTTGATATAATCTCCGTTGCTGAAGACTGCTGTGTTAATTGCAGAAAATTTACTTAGTACATGAATGGCCTAATTAAAAAGTTGCACAGAAACTGGAAGCCAAGTTTGTAGAATGTTGTATGTTTCAGATATTACATTTCATGGAAAAAAGCTAAATAATTCCGTTCAGTGTGACTGGTTAAGATTTTCTTATTTCAATTATTCACACCCTTACATGTTTCGGTCTTCAGAGACCATCTTCAGAGAGACACCTTTACATCAATACTGTTAGAAGCCACTATTACAGTACATGTTCTAAACGTTAAAATATATAACTACAATATAAATAATGTACAATTGGCTGTAAAATCTAAAGTTTTTTTTTCAAACTACAGCAGCTATTCAAATACTTTAAAATATTTATATTTAGTTTGTTAAAATTCTATTGGAATTCGTAAACCAAGCTGGTTCGTGTCGTTCCTCTTATTATTACTTTTGACGGGGCCGAATGTGTGCCCCCCTGTCGTTCTCGAGAAGAGGGTTCTTTGATGTGGTCCTGTCTGTCTTTGTGGCCCGCTGTCCTGTTCTTTTTTTTAAAGCATGTACTCTAATAGTGGCTTCTAACAGTATTGATGTAAAGGTGTCTCTCTGAAGATGGTCTCTGAAGACCGAAACATGTAAGGGCGTGAATAATTGAAATAAGGAAATCTTAACCAGTCACACTGGACGGAACTATTTAGCTTTTTCATGTATTAGTGTGACGAACCAGAATGAAACAAATCAAATTCATTACATTTCATATTGCAACTCAGTTACACAATCTGTCTTCCTGTCACTCGCACTTGGATCACAGGACATCCGTGAGACACTTCGTTTCACTTCAGTTTTATAATCTTGGACAGTCGATGCGACTCCTTGGACGGGGGAGCAGCCCGTAGTAAGTACGCTACCTACACAGGCAAAGCAAACACAGAATAAAAGTAGAAAATCATCCATGCCTTGAATGAGATTCGAACTCAGGAGCTCAACGTTCAAGCGAGCGAAGACATTTCATACTTCAGACGGCGAGGGCCCTGTGATTGGCAGTTATAATAATACTATACATATTTTACATACTTGCGTTTACGTGTTCCTTGCACAAAATGCATAAAATGGAAGCGCAATGGGATGGTAGCTTTATTGTAGTGTGTTTATCTATCAGAAATTCCACATTCTCCACTTCCAGACCTACTGAATACATTTCGATTGTATTTGGTGCTAGAGGGGGACGTAATAGTTATTACTGAGCAAATTAAATTTTAATAATATACGTTCGATATAAACCATACTTTACAGAAAGTTCAAATCGAAATTTATTGAAATTTATTTCAGAAATGTGCAAAATAATTATTCATAATCTGAAATATAGATCTTACAACGATCTAAGGCTATTTGTGTTGTGTAGGCCAAACTTCCTTCGGAGTAATTTATTTGCATATGTAACATACAGGAACTGGTCATCGGCGCTCATTTAATTTGTTCTCTTGTTGAAATGATACATAGTTTCCTATTTAAATAACAACTTATTCATATATTATGTACATTTCATTAATAAAATAATAAAAGATAACTGACTCAATACATTTATGACATTCGTTCAGCATGCGGCTAAAACATTACACCGTATGACATGCAAAATATATACACAGAATTTTGTTGAAATAAAGTAACTCGGCCTATTTCAGAGAGACGTTTCACACAAATTTCAACACTGAGAATATATATTTAATGATATGAAGGGCTTACTAAATTCCTTTAGTTCCGAGTGGAACATTGGGCTCCTGTGAAGCTCCTCCATCTTCTCCTCTGGTTTGCCCATACCTTAACCTCCTTCCAGGTCTCTCCCATCTCTGCTATTTCCTCTTCTATTGTCCTTATCCAAGTTTCCCTTGGTTGTTCTCTCCTTCTGGCACCTTGGCGGTTCCAATCTAATGCATCTTTTCTATGGCGCCAGCTGGTTTCCTTAAAGTGTGCCCGATCTATCTCCGTTTTCTCTTTTTAATTTG